TCCGGATCTCTGGGTCCGGACTAATTTGGTTGTTTATTTTTGATGTTAAATTAATGTTGGAATGGTTAATCTGTTGTTCTTGCCTTATCTGGTTAATTACTCTCGAAAGATTTAATTGGCCATTTATTGAGAAAATATTGTATGCCAAAAGGCTATGATATTCAACTGTCAACGGATTAAGTACAAATCTAGAAATGGATGAGTAGTAATAGAAATATTATTATTCCAATTGTTAATTTAATATGATAAAATAAATTCAAATGACGTCCAGACCCTAGGTCCAGATCTATACTTATACTATGTAAACTTAATTTATTTATTATTTTTACTCTGCCTTTTTTATAGTCGTTCCGAGAAGACTTTCATAAACCAATCCTAATCTTCGCCTAATTAGAGTAATTAAACTAATTCCCTTCGTCCACTCCTTGAGAGATACGACACTCGGAGAGAAAACTGACCCTTTGTTGGGAAGGTTTACTACCCGAAAAAACTACAACTGTCAAGGTCACACGATTTCCCTTGTCACACAATTGACTTATGCTCAAGAGATTGTGTTTAAGACCCTTAACCAACAAAACATTATCAATAGAGGAGTTTTCGTTTTTACCAACCGAACCAATGCCGATTATCTTGCCTTTGCTATTATCGCCAAAGACAACGTTTCCTCCTTTAGTTGGTTTGATTTGCAAAAACTTGGATGCATCTCCAGTCTTGTGCTTGGAGCATCCGCTATCAAGGTACCAAAGTACACTTGATGCCTTCAAGCACACCTATAAGCCAATTTAAAAAGATTTAGGTACCCAATTCCTTTTGGGTCCTTGGGCGTTAGGTGCACGTTGGTAGTGTGATTGGTTTTGAGTGCAATGTTTATGCCTAGTGAAACAAACCTGGGCTATATGTCCTACCCTATTGCAATAATGACAAATAACATTTGGATTATGCATTCTCCTAGGTTGATAATAGTTACTAGGTTTTCTATATTGCTTGACCCTAGTTTGAGAAAAGTTTTGTTTATGCACATTTGGAAAATGGTTTCTAGATTCTCTAACTTGATCATTGTTTATCCTAGTGTTCTTTCTAGAGGGTCTAGTGTTCCTGGTTGATGTAGGTTGTCTATTATTGTTCATTTTAGTTTTCCTAGGTTGAGCCTTAGGTTGTTTAGGTGGTTGCTCAACTTTTTCCTTATTATTAGTTTCATTTTCAAATCCTAAGCCATGTTTAGTAAGTTGCAAATTATCAAGGACATCATTGACATTTTTGTGAGAAACACCAAACTTCTTTAAGGTTCCTTCAAGTTTAGCAACTTGTTCTTTAAGTGATGTACATGAACTACATTTTGAACTCTCCGGTTTGTCGGTGCTTCTTTTTCCGAAAAACTTATTTTCTTCTTTGAGTCTTTCATTATCTTTTGATAATTTATCAACTTCCTTCTCCATGGAAGTAAGTTGTTTCTTTAAATCCTTGTTAATTTTAGAAGCATTGACATATTCATCATAGAGTTCATTAAAAGCTTCTTGTACATCATCCAGAGTATAGGAATCTTTAGAAGTGGTACATACCTCTTCTGGTGGTTCTTCGTGTGCCATGAGGCAAAGGTTAGCGCTTTCATTCTCTTCGCCTTCCGATGACTCATCGCCGGAATCACCTCCCCATGAAATGTAAGCTCGGTGCTTCTTGAACGGTTTCTTCTCCTTCTCGTTTTTGGCATTTGGGCATTTTGGCTTGATGTGCCCAACTTCTCCACACCCATAGCACTTGGGTGGTCCTCCATGCTTTTTGCCCTTTCGTTCATACTCTTTTCGCATGAACTTGTGGAACTTTTTGATGACGAGCCCGAACTCGTTGTCCTCATCGCTTGATTCCTCCATGGCGGGTTCTTGGCTTGAGGTAACCTTGAGTGCAATCCCCTTCTTCTTTTGTTCACCTAAAGAAGGGAATAGAATGGTGGACTCATAGGTTTTGAGGTTACCTCTAAGTCCGTCAATGGTGACGTTGGTGATGCCGATGGACTCTTGAATGGCATCGACTTTGGAGCGCCACTCTGGTGTGAGACTTCGTAGGATTTTTCTCACAAGCTCCTTGTCCGTGTACGTCTTCTTGAGAGCATGAAGATCATTGACGATTTTGGAGAATCGTTCAAACATCTCATCGGTTTTCTCGTTTTCCTTCATACGAAACAATTCATATTCATGGGTTAGAAAATCAATTTTAGCTTCTCGGACTTGATCCGTACCTTCGTAGGTGATTTCTAGTTTGTCCCACATTTCCTTTGCGGTGGTGCAATAAGAAATCTTCCGGTAGTCATCCGGGTTAACGGCACAATAGATGATGTTGATGGCCTTGGCATTGTTTTCCACTTTCTTGATGTCTTGTGCATCATATTCATCCTCGGTCTTAGGGACGTTGGTTTCCTCGACCTTCTTCATTGGCACGTCCTCACCATTTTTGATAATTCTCCAAAGGAGAAAGTTTGTGGATTGGATGTAAATCCTCATCCCCTCCTTCCAATAGGTGTAGTTTGTTTCGTCAAACAATAGAGGCCTCGTGGTGGATTGCCCTTCACCTAAACCTGTGTATGAACTTTGAGTAGAAGCCATTGATCGTTTCTCTCAAACGGTTAAGTCTTTTAGAGAGTATGGCTCCGATACCAATTGTTAGAATAAAGGCCCAACGCTAGAGGGGGGGTGAATAGTATTTAAAACAAAATTGCAGGAAATTAAAAACGAGAGTGATAAAGTAAAGAGCGTAAGGAAGGAGCACACCGAATTTTATCCTGGTTCACCACAACGTGTGGCTAATCCAGCCTTTCGAGAGACTCTCTCGAGTTACACTAACTCCGTTAAGCTCAAAGGTGCTCAACAAACCGATACAACTTGAGAACTCGAGTCACACGAGCCTCAATGCCTTTGCTTGGAGATACCGCACTCCAAGACTTCTCACGAAGGAACGAAAGACTTCCTTCAAGTTTACAAAAAGGGAAAAACCTCCCTTAAAGTGTATACAAACACTTAAACACTCATCGTCTAAGAATTTGAGAAGGTTATTGAAATAACCGTCAATGTTTAAAAGACCAATGGGTCTATTGTGTAACCCTTCAGAAGCCCACGAGATCAAGGTAAACAAACCTTCCATAGTGTCAACTCCTCCAGGAAGAACAATGAAAGCTTCCACGGCATGATTCATCTCAAAATATTTGTAGTAATTGCTGGAAACTGT